GCATCGGGCTCCCTGCTTGGCGGGGAGCCTGCTTCTCCCTCTACCTCTACTGTTCCCCCTGCTTGTGCTCTCTTGCTCTCTCTGTCAAATAAATAAATAAAATCTTAAAAAAAAAACACTTTTGAGAAGAATAGAATATAATCTTAGAAAGTAAATGACAAAGAAATCAAACAGAAAGTGAAAATTTCCAACAAATATAAGAATTATTATTATTAGATAATAACGTGGGAGGAACTAGCAATTGAGAGAAACTATAGGGCTAGAATTAACAAAACTTGTTTAAAAAAATATGTAGAGACAATCATCTCTTAGGGCTTTTTGGCTGGGCCTGAGAATTAAACTGACTTATTAGATTAAATAGGGAAAGGCAGACAGATTTACGTGTTTTATGTGAAAGGTGAGTCCTCAAAAGGGAATGAAGACTCCTCAAATGGCAAAACCTACATGCTTTTATATTGGTTTGAATAAAAGAGGCAACTGCAGAGAAGTAACTAAACTATGTAGGGAGGCTAAAGAAAGGTAAGAATTATTTTAACAAGGTCTGTTTTGACAGAATTCACTTGGCTTTAACTCCCTGTAGAAGGATGTTTCTTTTCTCCTGATAATAGGGAGGGCATCTTTCACATGGGTGTTTTATCTCCTGTTTTCAGGAGGAAAAGGAAACATTAGAATACTCTTCTTGCACCTGCTGTTTTTCAAGTGCCTTTAGCTCAAAATAATCTTGATGCCAAAGTGATTTATTTTGGGGTGGTATTTTCTGCCACCCTTGACTTTTGAAGGATAATTTTGCTGGAGGCAGAATACTAGGTTGGTGGGTTTCTTTTTCTTTTAACACTTTAAGTATGCCACCTATTCTCTTCTTGCTTGAATAGTTTCTGAAGAGAAGTACAATCTAATTTTTATCCTTCTTCCTCTAGAGATAAGATTTTTTTTCTTCTGGCTTCTTCAGGTTTTCTCCTTTTCTTTGATTTTCTACAGTTTGAATATGATATGCCTAGGTGAAGTTTTTTTGGTATTTATCATGCTTACTGTTCTCTAAGCTTCCTCAATTTTGGAAAATTCTTCACCACTATTACTTCAAATGTTGTTTCTGTTCCTTTCTTTCTTGTTTTCCTTTTGGCATCCCTGTGGTGTGCATGTTACACCTTTTGTAGTTAGCCCACAGTGCTTAGATATTCTGTCCCACTTTTTGCTTTTCAGTTAAGGGAAGTTTCTATTGATAAATCTTGGTATATCTTCAAGCTCACTGATTCTTTCCTTAGCCATGTCCAGTCTAGTGATGAACCAATCAAAGTCATTCTTCATATCTGTTATTATGTTTTTAACACCTAACATTTCCTTCTAATTCTTTACAAAAGTTTCCATCTCTCTGCTTACATTACCCATCTTTTCTGTCATTTTCTTCCATTAGAGCTCTTAGCATATTAATCATATTCTAAATTCCCAGTCTGAAAATTCCAAAATCTCTGCATATCTGAGTTTGGCTTTGTCTCTTCAGACTATGCTGTTTGTTTGCCTTTTAATATACTTTGTAATTTTTTGTTGAAAGCTAGACATGTATCAGATAAAAGAAACTGAGGCAAATAAGCCTTTAATGTGAGATTTTATGTTCATCTAGCTGTGAGTTAGTCCATGTTTACAGTTTTCTGTATCTGTAGGTGTCAGAGGCTAAAATTTTATTCAGTGTCCTTGTTTTTTGTCTCCTCTGTTGTCTTTTCTAGAGGCCGCTTCTTAAACAGAAATATAAATGCTTCAGTTGTAATCCCCCATTATTATACAGAAGTCTTATTGATATGGTTAATAAGGTGTAAGGGAGGAAATGCATTCTATAATCCTGTATTTAGGTCTGAGTCTTTTAGTTGCCCCGTGACCTTCACAAGTGCTTCTCAGCTTTCTTCCACATGCCTCCTTAAGTGAGATAGAATATTGGCAAGTGGGGGCTGGAGGTGGGTATTTCCTTTCCCCCATGTGGAAAGATAGAGGAAGTTATAGTTGGGTATTTCCCTTCCCCTACATCAATTAAACTCTGGTAAAACCCAGATTGGTTAGACTGTGGTAAAATACTTTTCCTTGAGGGCAAACCTTTTTTAAGGAAAACTGAATTCTCTGACTTTTTCCATTACCCTGCCAGAAGCATGAGGGGATTTTTCTCTGATCTTCACCCTAAGAACTTGGTGGTGCTCTTGGGAATAAACAAGAGAGTGTGGGAGGATCCTGCTAAACTTGGACCCCAGAAGTTTTATCCCTCAAGCTTATCTAGGCTTTGTCTCCAGCAAGTAGTCAATTACTCTTAAAGTGTTCTTACTAGTTGTTGAATCCAGTGGTGGTTTCTGCTCCCAATAAGCTGTAAGTCTATGTTCATCTATTTCTCTCATTTTGGGGGTGGATGGTTTGCCCTGTAACCTCAATCTTCTGATGGATCAAAGAAGAGTTGTTGATTTTTACCCCATGTACTATTTTTCCTTATTGGATCTTCTAAGGCGTGTTCACTATGATTATCATTATACCTTAAAATGTCTAGATTGTTGTTTCATAGAAATTAAACAGTGAAAGTAAAGATAGTTATTGCACTGAATAAGCCATTGAGTAAGATAAACTACAACCTAAAGGGGCATGTTTTAAATGATATATACAATACCTTCTATGATATATAGCAGGAGCATTAGCAGTAGAAATTTATTTTTCCCAATGAACTTTTATGTGGAACTCTACTTATTTATAGATCACATCCTTTAAGGCTCAATCAAGGACATCGTTCTGGCAGTAGTTTTTCCTTTATTCAATTCATTTATTTAGTACCTATTGTGTGCCAGGCAACATTCGAGACATTGGGATATATTGGTCAACAAAATATAGTGCCCAAATATAGATTGGGATCTAGGTTACATTAGGGTCCCTATGTTCTGATGGATCAATATAGAGCTCCCAGAAAGTCCTTAATGACATCCATTCTACCAGTGTTTAACTGTTGCCTCAACTTGAGAAATGGCATGAGCTTATGATGCTTACCTAGTGCTAGTTCTACAATTCTTAAACCTCATTCATTTCTATCCAACTTGTTGAGATTTTAGAGTTTTTAAAATTACCTTGGGATGCAGGGAAGCCCGTGGCAACAATCTTAAAAGTTTGGGTATGTGGGGCATGTGGGTGGCTCAGTCGGTTAAGCATCTGCCTTCAGCTCAGGTCATGATCCCAGGGTCCTAGGATAGAGTCCTTCATTGGGCTCTCTGCTCAGCAGAGAGCCTGCCTCTCCCTCTCCCTCTGCCTGCCACTCCCCCTGCTTGTGCTCTTTCTCTGTGTCAAATAAGTAAATAAGTAAATAAATAAATAAATAAAATCTTAAAAAATTTAGGTATGCTAAACTTTATACAATGAATTGATGAAGTGTTCTTTTAGTCTTCTTTTTATTTTTTAAATGAAGAATTTTTACAGATCTTCATCCTCTAGACAGCCATTGATTTTTTTTCTGTCCTCTATTCAAGAATATAAAATAATACTTTTTATTTCTTTTTTTTAAAGGTTTTATTTATTCATTTGAGAGAAAGAGAGAGAGAGAGTGCACACAAGCAGGGGGATAGTCAGAGGGAGAAGGAGAGGGAGAAGCAGGCTCCCTGCTTAGCAGGGACTTAACATGGGGCTCCATCCCAAGACCTGGAGATCATGACCTGAGCCGAAGGCAGACGCTTAACCATCTGAGCCACCTAGGCACCCCTAAAATAATGCTTTTTCATGTTATGTCTTCAGGAACTCTGTTACACAACATGTGCAAGTAATATGACACAAATTATAAAGTTACAGTTTCCAGATGCTGCATAAAGTTAATAATATAAAAAGTAATAGCACAGGTAATGCTTTTAAGGAGGAAATTCTGTTTTTAAAATCTTCCAAATTATTTGTTTTCAAAAGCATGCAAGGAAGAAAGTGTATTGACAGAAGGGTGGCTGGAGATATTGGGAAACAACAGTGGATTGTGAAAATGCTATAAAACATTACATGGTAGGAAATTGTTGAGAAAATATAAACCTTTATACAACCCTGTTAATAGTAACTTTATTTCTAGTTCAAGACCATTATAACAATCTATGTGGGATAGTACATGTAGAGCAGATAATTAATTTTAGGACAATATTTTCAATGTCTCTGTAGTCTCAAACAAAGACTTCTAGGATAGAGGGTGCTTAGAAAGAATTTGAGATTTATTAGTCCCCAGTGCCACATTGGGCAAAGAATACATTGGTAAGCACCCTGCCAGCATACCTAAGGCTCCTGAATGGCTCCTCTGACTGGGACCCATCCTGTGATGCTCCCTTTTCTATCCAGGTTAATGGAACATCAGCAGAGAAAGAATAACTTTCACATTGGAAAAGGATTGCATCTTGTTGTTCACTTCCATATATTAATCTTAAGTACTTTATATCCCATGATCTTGCAGTATTGTTCTGCAGGAGGATAGAATTTTGTGTAAAGAATGTATGTCTTGGGCCTTATGCAGGAAGGGTCTTACTTGAGGTATTGAAACTTTCTTCTAAGATAATTTCGTATATTATGGCTAGAGCTCAAGGGCATGACTTCAGATATTATAAACCTTCTGAAAAAGATATATACACACAGATATACATTTATAAACATGCACATATATTTATCTATGTTATGTGTGATAAAGCTATTTTAAAAAACAGGAGAATGATTAACTCTAGAATCAGGAGAATGGTTATCCTTAGGTTGTAGTGAGGAAGGTGAAATTTTGATAAGCTTCATAGGGCTCCGAGGGACAGGTTAATATCTCTTTTTTAAGCTGAGCAGTGAGTTTATGGGTGTTGATTTTACATATGATCTACTTCATTTTAAAATGTGAAAAAAAGAAAGTCACACATAAGAAATATCATGGACATCTGATTTTTTTAAGTGGAATTTATCTATGGCACCAGGAGAGACTCTAATACTTTATCAGAGCAACATTGTGATGGACAAAATATCATAGTCTTTTTTTTTTCTTTCAGTCCGAAAGGATATAGTCCGCATCCTCCCCAGTTTAGATGTTGAAGTCAAAGACATTACTGACAGTTACGATGCCAACTGGTTTCTTCAGCTATTATCTACACAAGATCTCTTTGAAATGACCAGTAAGGAGTTCCCCATAGTGGCTGAAGTCATAGAGGCACCTCAAGGAAAGGAGCTTCCCAGAAGCATTTTACAGCCTGGGAAGACCATTGTGATTCACAAAAAGTACCAGGCATCGAGGATCTTAGCTTCAGAAATTCGAAGCAATTTTCCTAAAAGGCACTTCTTGATCCCCACTAGCTATAAAGGCAAATTCAAGCGGCGACCCCGGGAGTTCCCAACTGCCTATGACCTTGAGATAGCAAAGAGTGAAAAGGAGCCTCTCCACGTGGTGGCCACCAAAGCCTTTCATCCCCCTCATGATGAGCTGTCATCCGTATCTGTTGGGGACCAGTTTCTAGTGCATCACTCACAGACAACTGAAGTCCTTTGTGAGGGAATCAAAAAAGTGGTGAATGTTCTGGCCTGTGAAAAAATCCTCAAAAAATCCTATGAGGCAACACTGCTCCCTTTGTACATGGAAGGAGGTTTCGTAGAGGTGATTCATGATAAGAAACAGTACCAGATTTCTGAGCTCTGTGCGCAGTTCCGCTTGCCCTTCAACGTGAAGGTATCTGTGAGAGATCTTTCCATTGAAGAAGACATTTTGGCTGCTACACCAGGACTGCGGTTGGAGGAAGCTATCACAGACTCCTATCTACTTATAAGTGGCTTTGCCAACCCCAGGGAGTGCTGGGAAATTCCTGTCAGCCGCTTAAATATGACTGTTCAGTTAGTTAATAGTTTTTCTAGGGACACAGGATCAGTTCTAGTCAGGACTCTGGTTGAAGAGATCACCGAAGAACAGTATTACATGATGCGAAGATATGAAGGCTCTTTCTCCCACCCCCCACCTCGCCCTCCCAAACATCCCTCAGTGGAGGAAACAAAGTTAACCCCGCTCACCTTAGCAGAGAACAGGGCTGTGGGTCTGCCTAAGTCTCCCAAGGTAAGGCTATGATTTTGTAGTTTTTCCTTTTTAGCATTTTTCTTGAGGCAATTTATTTCAAGTCTCTTCCGAGTTTCTTTTTTGCTTACTTTTCTTTCTTTCATGCCATATTTGAAATGAGTCTTTCTGAAGCACAGTAGATGAATGAACATCAACAGAGCATAAGCTGTTGCAACATTTTGTATTTTGATGCTTAACCAGTAGATATGACAAAAAGTTTGTATTGAATTAGAAATAGCAGGGATGACATTTGGATATGATGACCCAAATTGCTGTCTCAATGGGTTTTGGTAATTAGGAATGTTTTATAAGGTGCCTCAGAAGCAAATCTCTTTTATTTTGGAAGTGCTGTTCTTTTTTCTAGGTAGAGTTGTTTTAATACTTCATCCGGGAAATGAGCATACAATAAGCTCCCTTCTTCGGGGGGGTTTACCAGTAGCATGCATCTATAACACATGTCTTCATTTTGTTTTATGTGCAGAAAGATGTAAAAATATCTTGGCAGAACTGTGTGTGAGCATATGAGCATCTGCCCACATTCTGCCTATCTGAGGATTGTAATCTTTAACAGTTCTATTGAAAAACAAAATCAATAAAATTGCAGACAGTGTGAGATCATAACAGAATCAACAACTCCATAACCATTGGAAAGGTTTTGGGAGGGGAGGGGTTTCGGCTTCATTTCCCCTTGAAGTCTTTGCCTCTTGAAAACTGCCTGCTGAGTACCTGGAAAGCACTTGCCCTGACACCATGGAGTGTAGGTCGTTTATCTGGTCCCCAGTGGTTCTGTGGTGTGTGGAAGGAGTGCGTTCTGGCCTGGCAGATGTTGTGCTAGCAGCTTGGGGAAACAAAGCAATTAGTAAAACAAAGAGAGATGCTGTGTTGACTCTCTATACTCAGGAATGATAGCAGCCTCGGGCTTCAAGTATGTGGGTATGAAAATACTTTTAATTCTACATTTCAAAGATTGCATTCTGAGTGTGTGCTGGATAAATCCAGTAACAATCTTCAAACTCATCTTCAGAAAAAAGATAAAAGCAGCAGAAATTTCCTTTCCAGAAAAAAATGATCTCGACGGGGTCATTTTAAATTAAACAATTGTTCCCAAATAATGTTGATTAACAGGCTGCTATTAATGTCGAAAGTGTCTAGCTTCTCCTGTTTAATATATTTTTATTGCTGAATGGAATGATGTGAGAGATGGAATGATGGTCTCATTCTTAGTGGTAGGCAGAATAATAACCCCCCACACCCTCCCAAGATGTTCATGCCTAAACTTCCAGAACCAGTGAATATGTTACATTAGATGGCAAAAGAGACTTTTTACATGTGCTTAAAATTAAGGACTTTGAGATGAGGAGATTATTCTCGATTAACCAGATAGGTCCCACTTAATCACAGATCCTTAAAGAACCTTTCCCAGTTGAGGTCAGGGTCAGAGAGAGATGTGACTCAGGGGAATGGTCACAGAGAGACAGTGTTGCTGCCTTTGAAGATGAAGGAAGGGAGAATTGAGTCAAGGGATGCAGATGTCTCTAGATGCTAGAAAAGTTAAGAAAACATTCTCCCCTAAAGCCTCCAGAAAGGAACACAGCTCTGCTGTGGTTTTGGGATATAGGTGAGGTTCGGTGGAGTGAGATCCTGAGCTGACAACCAAGAAAGATTCAGCCAGCCTTCTGTTCAGCTCTGTCAACACCTTCATTTTAGCCAGTGAGACTTATGTAGGATTTCTGACTTACAGAAATGTCAGATAATAAATTTGTATTGTTTAGGGCACCATGTTTATGTTACAGCAGCAGTAGAAAGCTAATATAAGACAGAAGTTGAGCAGGAGGAATAAGTAAAAACTTTACATAAAAAGATCTATATTTAAGTTAGAACTTGTTTTTTTGGCAAAATGACTTTTCCTTTTTCTTTTTAAAGAATTTATTAGCTCATGTACCCATGGAGAACCTAAGGGTACAGCTAAACTTCAGGGACAGTTGGAAGCAGAATTTTGAACATGGCCAAAGTGAGTCTTGCTTTTCATCACAGAGTTATTTTCACAGACTAGTTTTATTCATGGAGGGCACACTGCGATGATGGTTCCAGCATCATTTAGTCTCACCACTTGATAAAAATGTCATCACTTTGTTTGTTTTCAGCTTAAAAAGAGGGGGGCTTTGGAGCACATGCTCATTTCCCGGTTCAATCAATTCATTGGCTGCTCCAATTTACAGCCAAGATTGTCTCAAATGGTAGAGGTAAGTGTGAAGTATGTGAAGATCTGGAGATGTCCATTACAATCAGAAAGGAGGGAGTCGAAAATCCTAAACTACTAAGAAAGCATTCATAGAAAAAAATAGGTTAAAAGTTTTAAAAATGCCATTTCACAGAATGTCAGATGAAAATGATCCAAGTGTTTTATTTGGAGAGAAACTCACAAAACAAGTTACACCTAGGTTACTGACTTGGAGAAACCTCCAGACCCCTCCTGAGTTTCTCCTTTACTCACACAACTGCCATACTCACAATACTTCCGACACCAGATATGTGAGGTTTCTGACACAAAGCAGTTTGTTGACACCAAGTGGGTGTTCTACAACTTAACTCAATTCTGAAACTACTTACTTGGAGATAGTGTCAGGTCCCACATGTTAAGGTCTCAGTCCCTCAAGTCTGCCCCCCACTTCAGATACTATTTGCAAGTAGTAGGTCCTCAGGTTACCTACAACTTCTGTCTGAGAAGGCTACAAATTCCCACAAGCCCCTCATCAGGTTTAGTGAATTCCCTAGCACAGCTCAGAGAACTCAGGGATTGGGTTTACTAGTTTATTAAAAGATATGATAAAGGATACAGTCAGAGGAAGAGATACACAGGGCAAGGTCTGGTAGGGTCCTGAACATAGGATCTTCTGTCCTGTACAGTTGGGATACACTACCCTCCTGGTATATGGATATGTTTGCTAACCTGGAAGCTCTCCGAACCCCATACTTTTGGGATTCTTGTGGAGGCTTCCTCACGTAGGGATGATCAGTTATTAACTCCATTTCTAGTCCCTCTCTGCTCTCTGGAGAATTCGAGTGGACAGTGGGGGAAGGGCTGAAAATTCCAAGCTTCTAATTATGGGGTGATTTTTCTGGTGACCAGCCTCTATCCAGAAGCCCACCCAGAGTCACCTCATTAGAACAAAAAAATATTCCTATTACCCAGGAAATTCCAAGGGATTTAGGAACTCTGTGTCAGGAACCAAGGATAGAGACCAGTATATATATTTTCTAGTATCTCACAGTTACTAAAATAAAACTAATGCAATCTTTGACTAAATTCATATGTGTAGGATTCCAGATCAACTGAATAATTCCTAGCTCCTTGTTCTCTGGTCAGACCCCACATGGATTCTTTTGTCTATTTCTGAGTCTCACTTTTTTTTTTTAAGGTTTATGTATTTCAGAGAGAGAGAGAGCGAGAGAGTGCACAAGCAGGAGGGGCAGAGGAAAAGAGAAAACCTCAAGCAGTCTCCATGCTGAGCATGGAGCCTGATGTGGGGCTCGACCTCATGACCCTGAGATCATGATCTGAGCCAAAACCAAGAGTCAGAGGCTCAACTGATTGTGCCACCCAGGTGCCCCTCTGAATCCCACTTCAAAGAATATTGATAATAGAAGTTTGTTGAATGTTGAGTCATTTATTAAGATTTTAAAAAGTCCAGGAGACATTTTCATCTGAGAAATAATTGAGGGAACTAAGGGATTGTCTAAACCTGAATGACTTGGTGCTGGGTGATACTGTTGTATACATTTAAAGTGCTACTCTGTGGCAAAGAGTGCATTCTGATTTTCTATTACAACATTGGCTGAGAGTCAAAGGGAAGACAGTTTTAGTGTAATATGTGGGAATAGGTTCCTTGTCCCCTAAAAGGTGAAAGCAGAAGCTAGGAAACCCTAGTTCAGTGATGTCATCAGGACACTTGTGCTCGGTTGAAAGTTTATCAGTCAGTTGAGAAGGGTCTATAATTCTTTGTTTATAATTAGTTTCATCAATGCTAGTGTAGTGTGGTAGATAAAGAAATATATTTTCTCTGAAATCACTTTAAAATGGCAGAGAATGCTATAATTTACCTGTGCTCAGACCTACTGACCTCATTTTCAACACTTTTTCTTACCATGAAGATAGAAATCTGCTTAGTGGATCATTTGTGGAATATAAACAGAAGCTCTGTCAGTTTCTGCATAATCTACTTGAAAAGTCTTACAACCTACTATTTCTTATCATCACAGTGTCATCCTTTCATATATTTCTTTTATGTTTCTTCTGATATCTACATTGAAGCTCTTCTACCTATGTATGCTTTTAGAAGTGATTGGTTAAAACGCTTTTTATACTCCACAGGCCAGAAACAGCCGTTGAAAACAAGCCTCTAAGATTCTGACTTGCATATGGAATATTGTTTTAAATTCGGAGAACAATTTGTAAGGGCTATTCAGAGTTTAAATATTCAAACCCACTTAACTCCTTAAAATACCTTATTCTACATGTAAAGAAGAGTATCAGATCCTCCTTATGTAAATTTACGTATGCCTTCCCAGTGGGTCATTGCTTTTCCTAGGTCATTTCTTGCACCGTGAAACAACAGGATGGATGGATGCATGTGCTACCTGAGAGTATAGGTATCCACTGCCAGTGATGAACCCTACAGGTTCATCTTTAGAAATTAAGAATATATGAGGACATGTTATAGAAACTAGGATAAATAGAAAAAAACTGTTTTTCAGGGTAGAATTGCAAGTGCTCTCTCTAGCTTGAGCAATGGCCTAGAATAAGAAAGGCTCAATTGTAGTAGCACTTGAGAATTATAATATGGATATGATCGGGGCAGATGTAGGGTATGTGTGGGGTAGATATCACCAGAGATATCTCGAGGCCTAGGAAGTTTTACATGGAAGGGCTTTATTGTCATTTTGAAAACATGATAGCCGTTAGGGGGAATAATGGATGGGGTCTGAACAAAGGGATGAGA